AAAGTTGAGTCCTGCATAAATCACAAACAAATAAGTCAACCAGAGAGAGAGAGAGAGAGAGAAATGCATAAAAATTTGGTCTTTTTTTTTTGAAGATAACTTCTCATTTAGAAATCGTACTGGCGTAGGGAGTATTAAGATATGATGTATGTATGTATGAAATCAATTAATAAAAAAATGCAGTGTGGCATAATCAAAAGGCTAGCATATAAAAATATGTTTAGACACATTCAATTGGTAATTGTTGTTATTGTTTATCTACATTCCACATTATTATTATTATTAATTACATATTTAGATTTTACCGATTTCTGAAATCATCTATGATCATTTACCATAAAAATATTCTACAATAATCTCGTCATTTGTTTGCTATTATAACTATGTATGTATGTATGTATGTCTGTATGTATGTATGCATGTTTGTTGTTGTTTTAGTTTTGATTCAAGTGATTTCTTAATCTTAGACATCTTTTTCAGTTCTTTATGTTAAGAAGTTAGACTTAATGCGATGTTTTTTTTTTTAACTGCAGCCTCAAACGTATGCATTTTTTTATGTATATTTTATTCCATAGTAATGCTAAATAAGTTATTCATATCTGAACTATCTTAAAGAGTTTAATATATATATATACGTTGATAATAAACACATGTGGTAGTAGTATATATATCAGAGTAGAGCCATGTTAAGTGATCCTCGAAAATTTCACAGTCACGGATTTTTTTTTTAGAAAAGTGTATAAATGTAAAGTACTTATGTTTAATGCTTATACTGACACAGAAATAATGATAGGACACAATTTTTGTGTAAGGCTACATAATTTTTAAGAGTGAATACGTGAAATAAGAAACAATTGTTTATAAAGGTTATTGTATAACCAATTATCAATCTATAATAAATTGTTGTTGTTTTTGTATGAGAGTGTAAATATTTACCTACAAGAGTCTAAAGTTTCAGTCCGTTATCTACTGTTGTTCTGGAGAAATTAAATATAATAGTCAATAACATGAACAAACTTAGGATATGTTGCAAAGTATTTTTACGACAGCAAGGCCTGGTGACCTGCCTGGTTATCAGGTTATATA